CCTGATGTACCTCCAACCAAGGCTCACCCACTCTGTGGATTCTTAGAAGAAAATAATGAAGCTTCAGGGATGTGTAATTCATCATTATGGCATCTCACTGCTAAAACTATCTTCCCTGCCATGAACACACACATATACATCAGACGTGGTAAATTTCAAGCAGAAATTCTTTAAAGTCTCCTCATCTGAGTAGGCTGAAAAATCTAGTAGTATGCATTATTTTATGAAACTGAGGTTCAGAGATAAAAAGATATCTGCCCCAAATCTCACTGCTGCTTAATATGAGAGGTGAGGCTAAAATGTCTTTCTCAAATCTCCTGCTGAAACTTAAATCGCAGTCCATAATCATTAGCACTTTTAAATCACAGTCGCAAGTCTTGGATTTTTCTAACTAAGGTAGAAAGTGGTGTTGTCCTCCACAGTATTGAATAATACTTGGTGAATGAATGAATGAATAAATAAATGAATAGACACCCTTAAGGGAACATAAGAATGAGATTATTTAGAACAGGAAGAGCATGTTACCCACGATGAAGGCTGACTATGGGACACTAGGTTTAATAAATAACCCCTAGGCAATTTAAACCAATTAGAGAGCAGCTTTTCCAAATTTTGGTGACTTTAGCACTTACTCCCTTTGTTCAATTGCCTCATCTGATTTAACAGGTGGTCTAAGTGAGCCTACGCATAAACAGAAGCTGAGGATACTCATAACAATAGATTTTATTATTAAAATATAGACTAATGTTTCATTGATATGTTGTTCACTAGTGTATTTTTTAAATCAGGGATACACTGGTCATGACCACTGAACATAAATGAACAGAGGAGTTAATTATTGAAGGTTTAAGTGGAATATTTTTCATTTCCCTGGAGGATCCCTTTCCACTTATTTTCTAAATATTGCCTTTGTGCATATATGAGATACTGAAGCTATCATGGATTTCAGCAATTGAGAATCCCTTCAATATTATAATCACTGCCATCTAGATCTCAAAGATCATCCAGTCCCCTGGCTCCCAGCCTAACCTTCCCACTGGAGTCACCTGGTGACAGAGTTCCACCTGCAGAGATTCTGATTTAATTGGCATGGGTTGTGACCTTGACAATGGGATATTTTTTAAAGCTTCCCAGGTGAATCTCATATGCAGCAATTTGTGAACCATTCAACTAGTGTAGCCTTTTGAATTTAAACATGAAGCATCTCAAGTCGAAAGAGGTTTCGATAACAGCTTGGACAGAAGAGTCTGAGTAGCTCTTGATAAACACCAAGGCATATCACTTTATAAAGCTTAAGCAATTTCTAACAATCATTACTTAATCCATTTTTGCATTTTCTGAAAACGCAGGTCACCCCAGGCTCTACCTGTGCTGTGTTTGGTCTGGGAGGGGTCGGCCTATCTGTTGTTATGGGATGTAAAGCAGCCGGAGCAGCCAGGATCATTGCAGTGGACATCAACAAGGACAAATTTGCAAAGGCCAAAGAGTTGGGTGCCACTGAATGCATCAACCCTCAAGACTACAAGAAACCCATCCAGGAGGTGCTAAAGGAAATGACTGATGGAGGTGTGGATTTTTCATTTGAAGTCATCGGTCGGCTTGACACCATGGTATGTACCATGACGTGCCCTGAGATTTCTGCTTCTGCAACATGGAGGATGCATTTAGGCAGCAGAATATATGTACTATTTATAGATGCTATTTTTAGTGATGAACGGAAATTTACCATCATCTGTTTGTTACCTGGCTTATTTAATTTATTGTTATGAGAAATCTTCCATTCAATCAGCTAAGCAAACCTGTCTTAAGTCATATTTTCTCTTGAGAAAAAGGACTTGTTTTTCTTCACAGAGCCACTACAGATATACTTTATTATTTTTTAGTTAAAAAGGCAAACAAGTAAATATAAATAATACAAATTCATTTCTCAAATTAAAAAGTTTTATTTTTCTTCTACATTCTTAACAAAAATATTTTAATAATTTTGTATATGTTACTAATAAATTCCAAACTTTTTTACATACTATTCTTCAGTCAAAAGTAATGCGCAGTTTTAGACCAACTGCTATTTTAATTAAAGAGGATATGCCATAAGGAAAGTGACTGCTTTAATGCACCATTATATTTTATCACAGAAACTGGACAGTGCTGGCACATAGCTAATACCCAATACTACTTGGACAGAGGCCTTTAAAAAGTCAACAGATTTTACCACCCACAAAAGTTAAGAGCTACATATCTCCTGGCATTGTTTATGAAATACATGAGACAATGCATGCAAAATACCTCATGCAGTACAACCTGTCATGTTTCATGTGTTAAGCTCCAAATAAATGTCAGCTGCCTTTTTTTTTTTTTGAGACAGGGTCTAACTGTGTCACCCAGGCTGGAGCACAGTGTTTATAGCTCACTGCAGCCTCAACCGCCTGGGCTCAAGCTATTCTCCTACCTTACCCTCCAAAAATACTGAGTACAGACATGAGCAACCATGCCCAGCCTCAGCTGGCATTATTGATATGAAATACTATTTCCAGTCTTGCAGTTCTTACATCATCTTGGGCTTATTACATGGTGTTACTTTCAAACAGTTACAAATATCAATTACAACAGGAAACACATCTTTAGCTATATTTCACCTACCCAGGATTCTCTAGAATCCTACTGAAAAAGTCTCCAGAGACCAACAAGTTTCCATTGCTGAGATTTTCTAGAAGGTCGAACAGTGTGGGTAATGGGGAGAAGCACCCTGAGATCAAAGCTCTCAGCAGCCTTGACCTGGGACAAATGCCACTGAGGAATAAGGTGTGAGGAGAATCCAACTTTTTCCAGGGCTATAGCTTTTCTCCTTATGCACGTTTTCTATATTTTCATTCATTTTCTCATGTGGATCTGGAGTGTACCTCATCTCAAGACACCAAATGTCTGACAGGCACATGTTTTGAGGATGTCTGGGCTTGCAAAAGTCAGAATCCAAAATCAAAAAACTAATCATTACATGCCCTGGGGGGATTCTAAACCACTTTCTAACTACAGAACATGTTTAAAAGATGACTAGAAAAGACTTTATGAGCTGTCTTTTGAGATTCCCAAATAACCAATGTAATTTCATGTAAAACCAGTATACATTTGGGGAGTTAAAAACAATGTTTAAACCATGTCCATTTGAGAAATGGACAGTAGAACAGGAATATGTTTAAAAAAGGGAGACTATCAAGTGGACAAGAGACAAATTTTGGTGAATGCTTATCTTGTTCACCATCAACATATCTGATTGAAAGAACTGGGTTAAGGCTGGGCATGGTGGTTCACACCTGTAATCCCAGCACTTTGGGAGGCAGAGGTGGGCAGACGACCTGAGGTCAGGAGTTTGAGACCAGCCTGACCAACATGGTAAAATTCTGTTTCTACTAAAAATACAAAAAGTAACCGGGCATGGTGGTGTGTGCCTGTGATCCCAGCTACTCAAGAGGCTGAGGCAAGAGAATCACTTGAACCTGGGAGGAGGAGGTTGCAGTGAGCTGAGATCACGCCACTGCAATCCAGCCTGGGTGACAGAGTGAGACTCTGTCTCAAAAAAAATATATATATATTGGGTTCAAAATACCTACTTAATAAATCAATGAAAAATGAATTAACTAATTCATAGATTGCCTAAAAATTATGTATGCTTGTGTAAGGAACCAGACTTTATGTATGTTTGTAATGATGTTTGCCTCTTTATTCCTTTTTTAGGAAGAACTAAGTGCGCATCAATTTATTCATCCATTCTTTCATTCAAAAACCATTTTCTGGGCATTTCCTGAATCGACAGGAATATCCTATGCATAAAAAGGGGGGGGGGCCGGGCGCGGTGGCTCACGCCTGTAATCCCAGCACTTTGGGAGGCCGAGGCGGGTGGATCAAGAGGTCAAGAGATCGAGACCATCCTGGTCAACATGGTGAAACCCCGTCTCTACTAAAAAGACAAAAATTGGCTGGGCATGGCGGCGCGTGCCTGTAATCCCAGCTACTCAGGAGGCTGAGGCAGGAGAATTGCCTGAACCCAGGAGG